CATCATTTTTTCATCTAATTTGCGACTGTATTCAACCCAATTCTGTGAGCATCCTGATTACCAGTGTTTTGAACTGTACATCTGATAGGTTGACTATTTCTTCATCGTTTAGTTGTGTTTTTTTCTAGAGCTTTGATCTTTTGTTTCATTTGGGCCATTTTTAAGTCTCTGCACATCTGTTACATAGTAGGGGGCAGAGCCTTAGGTGTTCACCAGGGTGGGGCAACCCAGGTGATTGGATTGTGACACCATATGTGGGGGATGGGCCTGAGAGGGAACAGTGCTGCTTGTTCAGCTGTCTGCTGATTTTCAGTCACTTTCCCCACTACCCACAATCAAATCGGGCCCTTCTGGTGCTGATTCCCAGGTGGGTGGGCTTGTGTATGTTCTACGACCCTGTGAGTCTCTCCAATGAACTCTCCTCTGAGGCTAGGAGTTTCTCCTGCTGCCTCAACCCCCACAGGTGTTTTCAGTCAGAGGTTTGAGGCTTTATTTCCCCATGCTGGAACTCTGGTTTGTGCAGTCTGTCTTGCTCCTGAGTTGTTCCTCCCAGTTTACCTGCATGTGAATATGGGACCACCAGGTCTGTCAGCTGCTGCCTTGCTGACAGTCCTCTCTGTTCGGATGTCTGTCTCTATCCCTCCTACCAGTCTGGATGAATGTGTCTTCTTAAACTCCTTGGTTGTGGGACTTCCATACAGTTCATTTTTCTGTCAGTTCTGGTTGTTTTTTTGTTTTTAAATTTGTTGTTGTCCTTCTTTTGGTTTGGTGAGGAGGCACAGTGTATCTACCTATGCCTTCATCTTGGCCAGAAGTCTGGATATCTATTGTTTTATAGTCTTGCTGAATTGTCCTGTTAAACAGGAGTTGTATCAGAATTTTGAAAGCAAAGCAGACATCCATGTCTTTTTTTAATCTTAGGGTAAAAGCATTCAGTCTTTTACTTTTAAGTATAATGTTAGCTGTAGGTTTTGTATGGGTGCTGCTTATCAGGTTGTAGAAGTTCTCTTCTTCTCCTCTTTTCTTGAGTATTCTTATAATGAAAGTGTTAGATCATCATATGCTTTTTCTATTAAGATGACCATGTGGCATTTATTATTTGTTTTATTGATGTGATGTGTACATTAAATTATCTTCATATATTAACCCAATCTTGCAGATAGATTACGCTTGGTCATGGTGTGTTATAATTATTATATGTTGCTGGATTCAGTCTGCTACCATTTTATTGAGGATATTTATGTTTACATTCATAAGGGAAATTGAATTTTAGTTGTAATTTGTTGTGATGTTTGTCTGATTTTGGTAACAGAGTTATAGAGTGAGTAGGTAAGTATTAAGTCTTCTTCTATTTTTAGAAGAATTTTTGAAAGATTGATATTAATTCGTCTTTAAATGTTTGGTAGAATTCACCAGTGAATCCATTTGGACCTGGAATTTTCCTTTTAGGAAGTTTGTTTTAGATTACTAATTCAATTTCTTCTTTAAGTCAACTCAGTTTTTTTATTTCCTCTTGAGCCAGTTTTGCTAGTTTTTGTTTCTTTAGGAATTTGCCTATTTCATCTAAGTTATCTAGTATTTTCTTAATGATTTTTTCTTTCTGTCAGAAGTGATGTCCCTCCTTTTAGTGCTGATTTTAGCACTTTGAGTCTTCTCTCTTCTTTTGTTACTCTGGCTAAAGTTTTTTAAATTTTATTGATCTTTTCATGAAGTCAACTTTGTTTCATTGATTTTTTTCTGTAGTTTCCTACTATTTCATTTATTTCTGCTACAAATTTTATCATTTCTCCTTGCTTTGGACTTAATATGCTCTTATTTTTTATAGTTTTTTAAGGTGGAAGATTATGCTTTTAAAGTCTTTCTTTTTTAATATCATCACTTACATCTGTAAATTACCCTCTAAGCACTGCTTTAGCTGCATCAAATATATTTTGGTATCTTGTATTTCCACATATTTATAAATCAAATTTTCTTTGGGGTTTGATTTTTAAATTTCATCCCATTTTGGTCAGAGAACATGCTTTGTATGATTTAGTTCCTTTCAAGTTTATTGATGGTTATTTCATGGCCTGGCATATGGTGTATTCTGGATAATATTGTATGTTTATGTGAGACAGTGAATCTTGCTGTTGTTAGGAGGATTGTACTATTGGTGTATATTAGGTATACTTAGTTTATAGTGTTCTAGTGTTCTACATCCTTTGGATCATAGGGTGAAGTGTAGCAACAAATTCTTTTAGTTTTGTTTTGCTTTAATTTTTGACTTCATTTTTGCCTTGTTGTGTTTGCTGGCTGATGATTTTTTAAAATTTAGCACTTAGGATGTATAATCTACTGCCTCCTGGTTTTCATTGCTTCTATTGAGAAACTAGTTATTTACTGCATTTGGGTTCTTTTGTACACAATGAGCCATTTTCACCTCTTGGCCCTTTCAAAGTTTTCCTTTTGTTTTTCAACATTTTTATATATGATGTGTCTCAATGTTTAACTCCTTGTGTTTATCCTACTTGGGACTCATTTAGCTTCCTAAATATGTAAATTATTTATTTTTAAATTAAAGTTGGGGAGTTTTCAGCCATAATTTCTTTGAATATTTTTTCTGGTCCTTTCATTTCTTTCTTTACTCATCTGGTGATGTGATATAATTAATGGTGTTTCAGATTTCTCTGAGGCTCTGTTTATATTTCTTCATTTTTCTTCTCTGTTTTCATCTTATTGCATATCTCTATCTATCTGTCTTTAAGTTCACATATTCTTTTCTGCCAGCTCAGTTCTACTGTTGAGACAGTCTAGTGAATTTTTCTTTTCAGTTATTTTCTTTCCCACTCCAAAATTTACATTGGCTCTTTTCCACTATCAAATTTACATTTGGTTCCTTTTTATCCCAAAATAATTTCTCTCTACTTATTGATATTTGATGAAACATTGTCATCATGCTTTCTTTCCATTATAAAAATATGGATTTATTTAGATCTTTGAATGTATTTATAATAGCTTCTTTGAAGTTTATCTGCTAAGTCCAACATCTGGGTCCCCTTCATGGTAATTGACATTGTCTACATTTTTTTCTTATGTATGAGTCACACTTACCTATGGCTTTGCATATCATATACTTTTTTTTTTGTTAAAAATAGACATTTTATATAATGTATTGTAGTCCTCTATGGAGTTTGTTGTTAGGGTTGTTTGTTTGTTTATTTAGTGACTTGGCTGGAATAATTAAGTGAAGTCTATTTCTTCTGCAATGTGTAGTTTTTAATGTCATTTCTTGGAGAATGCCATCTTGGGCATGTGTCCAGTCTTCCTGACTCTCAGGGATAAGTGTAATTTTAGCCAGGCAATATTTGACTGCCTTTTTCTCTTAAGTTTCCAACTGGTCTGCCTATATTCATTTCACATCCAGCTCTTAACCTTTACAATATACTGGTTGGTATACTGGTTGGTTGCACTATTTTCTGGATAAGGCTCTGATCTATGGTCTTAGCCACTTGAAGTTAGGTCCCAAGTCAGAGCCAGAGAGATTCTAATCTTTGAAGCTGATTTTGACCCTCACCTGGCAGAACCTCAGTGTTACAACACAGAAGTTGGGTGTGATGAGATACTCACTCTTCACTGGTAGCCCTGCATGAATTTTCTTTGTTGAGCAGGATCTGAGAGTTGGCAGGGATTAGTGTCACCACCTGGATGCTGCTATCACCCTGCATGGATATCTCACAACTGAGAGCCTCAGAGGTTGGGATCTTCCAATATTTACTGTCTGGTTAATCAACCCAAAATAAGTCTTCTAACTTAAAAATGTGGGAGAGATAGGACTTACCACTTGACTGCTGAAATAAGTACTGTGGCTCTCTAACAACAAAGAGCTGTTTTGGAAAGAGGAATTCACCAACGACCTCTTCCCTGATCTTTCCTACCTAGTGGGAGTTGAGGGAAAGGGAACAAATATAGTCTTGCTGAGCATATATTCAATATAGGCCTTCCACAGAAAATGAGATCTGATGTTCATCTGCTGTCAAACTATCCAGAATAGCTTTTCTGCCCTAGGGAACTGGGTGAATTGAAACTGCCACTTGGTTGTCAAACTCACCGAAACAATTGTTCTACAAGGCAGAGCTTTGGGTGGATAGCCTCAATGTTATGGTCTCCCAGTAGATTTTTTGAATAAATACTTTTCAATTTGTTGCATGCCCTTTGATCAACCTCCAAAGATCTTGAATGATTGTTTTTGCTAATTTTGACCAGCTAAATAGATGTGTCTTTGTGAGAGATTTTCTCTGTTTATATTCTGTAAACTCTTCACTACCTGTTTTGGCACTTTCTATTTAATTTTATAGTTTTACTAGACTGTAAATAGCCTCATTGCTTTCTATCCAGGCTTTTTGTTGACTATCTCTCTTTCCTATTATAATAGCTGATTAGTGTAATTTGTGTCATGTCCGTCTTATTTTAGCAATTGTGGTGGCTATACTTGCTCTCAGTCATGTTTCTACATTTCAATATATTCTACTGATTGGCTTCTTTGTGTACAAGCCCTCATATTTCATTTGCATCCTTATTTGGACTGCTCTACCAAATACAACCTTTATATCAAAACACACTTCCCCAATGCTTCCCACATATATTAATTAATCTTACAAAATAGTTTATTATTTAGATTACTTTTACTTCAGTATACTTCTTAGGAAAGAACTTATCAATACTATAATGCTAAATATTTTATTAACATCTGACTTCCAATTTTTCTGTTATATTGTATTACTCTGATTAACTGTTTAGGTTTAAGCTTTCACCATACCATGAACTTCATAACCTATATTAATATTTTTAAATTAAATAAATTCATTAGCTTAATACCTATTGATTTTTTCTTTTACTAATTAGTCATTTAAGCTATTTCTTTTGTTTTACTGTCCATATTTCAGAAATTCAAAATGGAAAGATAATTGACATACATTGGAAGATTATTGTAAAAGCAAAAATTACTCTAAGTGTTCACTTACTTGCTTGTAGCACCATTAAACATTCCAGTTTTGATGAAATATGGGCAAACGATGGTGGTTTTAACATTACTTTTCTGTACTAGTTTTAATTCAAACAAGAGAGACTCTGCAAAGCCAAAAGCTGCAAATTTGCTTGAAGAATAATCTAAAACAAAGTGAAGAACTGTTAGTAATAAAAATGGACATGTTAATTTATAGAATTATTTAAAAAAAAGTGAAAATCTCTTTCTTTTCTATGGTTTATCTTGGTGGACAAAGCATCATTGTTAAAGTCATTTTTGTGGCCACTCTATTCCTGTATGTCCACACTATATACCCCAAAAGGAGATGGACATTATTTCAGTTTCTCTTAAGAAGACTAATGGGCCAAGTGGCACACTTTTCTCTTTTTTTTAATAAGAGAGTACCTCCTCTTGCCACTGCTATTTTAAATGGGAAAATGGGATGTAATGCTGATGTTATAAATAGAATTGTGCTTGTGTTATAAATAGTATGAGAAATTTCTCCTTGGTGCAGGAAGAGTTTCTATACCTTGAAAGAGTTCTAACTTCCAGGTGCCATGGACTGGATAATATAGAGACACATGGTTAAGTACTCACCTGATAGTACATTAATACCAATTAATCCTGCTGCACTTGAAATACAGACCAAATGACCATGGTTAGCTTTAATCATGGCAGGAAGGAAGGCCTTATAAGTCTGGAAGATATAAATACATGGGATCAATATTTCATTCATTTATTATTTTATTTGCTCAATAAGTATTTGATGAATTTTCAGATTCATTTAGTAAATATTTACGTAAGAGTTACTGTGTGTTAAACCCTGTAGTGGTACATGTAGTTACTGTCCTTAAGGATCTTAAAATTTATTATGTGTTAATCTATAAGAAATACTATTTGATTTGTTTTTCCTTTTAAGTTAACTATATCAATTGAATTAAATCAACATTTTCTTTATATTTTGCTTTAAAAAACCCCTTAAAACCTAGTTTTTCTAATATGCTGAGCTTTTCCATGTAGTTTTTAGCCATTTGTATTAAAATTTAATCCCATTCACCTTCCTGGCTTTATGATGAACAAGATTCCTCTGCACATCAGTGGACTGACAGAATTAGGAAAACTGCTCAAAGAAAGGTGCATTTCAAGGCAAGGAAGACAGGCTGGTAAATGAAGTGCTTTGCAATTGTCTACCATGGTTTAGATATATTTTTAGTTATTGATATTTTGGGTAAAATCCTCTTATTCATCCTCAGCTGAGATATTAATTCAGTATGCTAAGATCCCATGTCATGAAAAAGTTCCAGTTCTCTTAACTCTGTGCTTCCTAGGTTCTCCCAAGGAGCTTGTCCATTCTCCTTTCCTCCAATACTGGGATTTTAAATCTAACATCTGTTCAGAAATAATAATCCAAAAATTGGAAATAAAGCAAATAGATAACTGTGTGACTTTCAACATACTAGGATGTTTTCTAATAATCTTGCCTGAGGTTTATCTAACTCTCTGGCAATGTAACTTAGACTGATTATTAGGACTCAGATGTTTCACAATTCTGTAAAATTAGAGGTTAACATGTAGAAAACTAATAGGTGTAATTTTTAAAATAATCTCGGAGGTAAGAGCTTAGTGAACTAATTTCAGCATTCTTTTTCATTGACTGTACAAATTCAAATTCCTCATATCATCAATTTATTAGCTGTGTTATTCTGCTAATTGTCCCATAAGTGAATTAACTAAAACCTTGACAGGCAATCCTCATAATATTTCTATGAGATTTATGATTTTAATGATATCAGAATTTTGCGTTAAGAGTTTTGCACAGTCTGCTGACTACGTATACAAGGACCCAGCAGAACCAGTAGCTACTGGTTCAGAGAATGTCACCTTTGCTTGTCAGGTCTTTAGATCTCACTAATCTTATTCCAGAACTATTGAATTAATTGGTGAGTTTCTGCTTAGATACAGATAATTGGCCTTTTTTGACATCTCATGTTCAAATGTGATAGCATTTTATATCTCTATTGTGGTAATTACCTCTTTTTTGTTCAAAAATTCAAAATTCAGAAATATTGTTGCATTACTCATTACTGCAGGCTGTTGTAAATGGCAAGAATTGTATATTGCCTTTCAGCACAAGTGTATAAAAAGTCCAGCCTGGGACCCAGAAGGCATCTTGAGAGTGATTATCTGGTAGACCTTGTAGGACTTAGGGACTGGAGGTCCAGCTGCTGCATCATTATGGGTCTCTGACAGTTTGTAAACTTTCAATAATGTGAAGCTGAGTAACGGAGTTGAAGGTGTGTGTCAGTGTTATTTTTGATAAGGAATTTCATGAGTTGAGGCAATGAAACTCCCTAGATGAAAGGGTGAAAGTAGTGGCCTATAGCAGTTTGTTATATGGCTGAACACTGGTGAAATTTAAAAGGAATCAGGGTAAACAGTTGTCTACTCACAGGGATCTAATCACTTGCAGGCGTGGGAATTGTTTTTCTTCACCCCTCCCCCCCACCCCCCACCCCCCTGCCACCTGCCCTCCCACCAAATGTATCTATATGTGTACTTGCTTTTGAGCTAAGGCTGAAGTTGCTACTAAATTTTCTGTGTCCAGTTGAGAAAAATTTTCTTGCAAAGAGAAAAGTGACTAGGTATTTCAAGAGTCTGTTTGTGTTTGAGCCCTAGGTGTCAGTGAGGGCATTTTAGGACATTCTAGAAGATGAGTTTATCATAGAAACTGATTTGCTCTCACTGTAAGAATTTCCACCATTAAAGAGAAGAAAAAGGAATGCATTAATTGTTCAGTGAGCAATTAATGAAACTTGTAAAATGCATTTACAACCAGGGAACTTACTAGAGAATTATATATTGATCCAGGTTGATACATTATTCATAATCAAGGTAAATCTGTGAACTAATGAGACTTGTTTGATAAAGTACTATATCTATTTTTACTAATTTTATCAAATGTGGGGTGTAATGCAGACAAGCATCAATCAGATCTGCTTGATTTTATTTCACTGAATTTGATGTAAGACTTGGTTTTTCTCACAGAAAAGCCTAATTAATGAGCTTCCTAATTTTTTTTCACACTGGTTGTGGGCCAAAGAGTTATTGTTGTTTTACAAAATATTTCAGGTTATGATGAATGCAAATATATGTTCAGTTAAATTGAATTACAACAAGTGAAAACTTTATTGTAAAGAAAAAGGGTTGGCGTTTTTGAACTTCAGACAGTTCTGCCAATTGTTTGAACTTAGCTTCTCCACTTGCACTGTCTTTTACAATTTTTCCATGTTATGTTTTTGACAGCCTTTTAATATCTCCAATGACTGTGCTACTCTGTAGTGTCAACTTAAATGACTTGAATACTTTAGGATAATATCAAATTGGGTAAATTTCTGAGAAATCTTTGATTATCCATAAGTTTTTTTTAAAAATTAAAATTTGTAGAGCAAAGGTATGGGGTCAGCTAACATAATTTTGAATTGTTTATGTAAAGCTTGAATTGAGAAGGTAAATTTAATATGGTATATACTATATCTTCTAATATGGTTGTAAAGTTGATATTTTAAAGCTATGATTGAAAACTAACCATGATATTGTTATATAACTATGTATATTTTGTATGTTTAAGGTCATATATGAATGCATGTTAAAATTAATAAGCAAAAATAAATGTATGTGTTTATTAATACCTTTTTTGTTACTACATAAGTGAATTAAGCCCAACAGACTAGAACACACAATATACAGGTGCAAGTTCAGAGACTGCATGAGGGCTGAATGATGAGAAGGAGCCACCATGTCAGAGTCGGGAGAAAGAATATTCTTGTCAGAGAGAAGAGCTTGGCAAAGACCCTCATATAGGTAAGAGCTTGATGTGCTCTGGGTCTTTTCAGGATCCTTAGAGTATAGAAAGTGAGCAGAATGTAGAGAAAAATGAGAGGTGGGTGACAGATATAGGAGGATATTACCACATCATGTAGGGACCTACAGGCAATGGTAGATAACTATATGTTATTCCAAGTGTATTTGGAATGCTCTGAATATTTTTGAGCAGGAGAGTGAGATGATTTGGTTAAAGATCAATTTGTTCTTGTCTCAAGGCAGGTTAGAAAATGGAAGGCCATGCTGAACTGCTAGCAAGAGATTACAAAACCTTGGTCCTGGGCTAGCAGCAGAGGAGAAAAATGAGTGTACTTGAGCATGTTTCCTAGGGAGAGCCAAGGGTGTTGGCATTAGGGCAATGGAGGAATCAAGGATGACTTCTATGTTTGTGATGTGGTTAGATATGAGCACCCCCTAGCTCTATCTGCCAAGATGATACTTCCCCTTCCCAAAGACATTTTAGATGGAGTGGGAGAGGGAAAGAAAATGTCATTTCACAAATATTTGTGGAACACCTGTTGTATGTCAGCACTATGCTAAGTGCTCACTAAGTATTGGTTGAAAGAGGTTTGTTGGGTTTCAGGTGGAGCTTTCCAGTGACCAAAAAAGAAGGTCAAGGAAATAGTTCTAAGGACCTTAGAGAGTGTATATAGAAGCATTGAGTGGAAAGAAAGAGCAGCCTGGGACACCTGAAGCAAATGCATTCCAAGGCCCTAGATTGGAGTTACAGAGGACTGAGGCCCTGTGCCTCTCTCCCTTCTTCATGACTCCTAAGGCCCAGTTCCAGCCCTCCATGCCTCCCACATGCCCCACACCTTCTTGTATCTGTTTATTTCATCACAGCTTCAAGTATAAGCTCTCTTGGTGGAAACTCCTTTGGTAATGCAAGTCTCCTTCAGCCTCCTATCTGTTTTCCAGAGTTGTGTTATCCAAGATGGTAGCCTCTAGGCATGTGGCTATTTAAATATGCATTTAAATGAATTAAATTACATAAAATTGAGAGTTTAGTTCTTCAGTCCCACCAAACATATTTAAAGTGCTCAATAGCTGTGGTTGACTAGTGGCTACCATATTGGGAAGCACAGAAAAAGAACATTACCATGATCACAGATAGTTCTACTGGATAGCACTGGTCTAAACACTCTAGGCTTCAAGAAAGCCAGCCTTGAGTTATAAATTTACTAATTGTCCTTCTGTGAAGAGTCCTTCATTTCTCTTTTGCTTCCTCCTTTTTTAAGCATGGGCCATCACTTAGCAGTTGCAGGACCTTGGATAAGTCATTAAAACCCTTTAAGCCTTAGTTTCCTTATTTGTAAAATGAGAATGAAAATGGCACCATGGTTACCATGTGCAGGAAAAGAACTTAGAGCAGTGCCTGGGACAGTCACAGCTTATTTCCTTTGTTTTGATGCCCAATCACACACTCATATAAACCATGACTCTAAAAATAGCCACTTTCTTTCTACACAAACTTCTCTTTCACTCATGAACAAATTAAATCTCTTTTGTATAATGGCTGTCACATTCTGTTTTTATTTTGGTAGGGAGATTTCTGAACAGCCTAAAAAATCTTGGGATCAGACTAGAGAGGATAAAGGGAAGGGCCCTTTGCTGAGCGTTTGTAACAGGGCAAGAATAGGAATAACTAAACCGAGTGTGTGTGACAAGGGGAAACCTGGATGAGAGGCCAGGGGCCTATGAATGGTAGATTCACAAAGGGTATATATACAGATAAATGACTGAACAGTTGTTTATAGAAATAGATAGAATTTCCCCACTTATCAATAAAATAAAACGAAAAAGAATGAAGATTTACCCAGAAATGAGATAGGACATTTACACGAAATGATCTTTCCACCATGTCATCTGGAGTGTCAAGGAACAGCTTTCCTGTGACCACACCAGCATTGTTAATGAGGAGGGTCACATCACCAACGTCTTCCTTAACCTGGACAGAAGTGAGGCAGGTGTTATTCATTGGAGGTGTTTACATTTTCATATGTGTTTCCATATCAGTTTCATATGATACATTTCTATATCATTTAAAAAATTTATTCAGGTATTTTCTTTAAAACTAGGTATTTGATCTTGCAGATAGAACATCAGCAATTTTAAAGTAACTTTACGATGAACTATATTAAATAAAACCACTGATTTGTCAGTTTTGCTTAAAGAATCTTGACTTTTTTTTTGGTGTAGAGATGACCTAATATTACATCTTTTCTGTACCTCCTATTTCTGTTGTGCCCTCCCCCTGCCAGTTAATAATGCCGAGGGTAGTGTATGGGTGATGTCTGATCCTGTCTCTCTCTGCATGCTTCCAAATATCTTCCTTCAGGTGGAAGTTAGGTTTCCCTTCAGCATGGTGGCTCTGATAGTTACTACTTCTGCACGTATCTCCTTCCTGACTCTTCTGTGAATCAGCTGGCTGGAACACATTCCATCCCTCTAGAGCCTGGCCCATGGCCAGTGCTTGGCATGAAGGTATTCGAGGCACAGATGTGTTTGGCCCACTTCCCAGCTACCTCTGTAAGCCTGTGCACTTCTGTCCAAAAGACCTCCCCAGATTTAATTCCTGTCTGTGGATGATGTTTCCCTGTGGTCCACAGCCATGCTACAGCCTTTTCCTTCATCCTTCCCTTCTGCATTGCCCACCTTACTTGCTTGCATAATCCAAAATGTACCACCTGTCCTACTCAGAGGCAAGCATGCTCCAGAATAAAAACCATGGGGACTGTTCCTCTCTCTTACAGTTTTGTCTCAAAGTAAAGCTTTGTAGGTGACATTGATAAAGCTGACCCTGGGGGAAAGCATGATGCACGTTTAACAACCATTTGAAGACTTTCTTTTTTTGCCATGTAGTGGAATCTTTTGAGCTGATACAACAATCTGTTTCTTTGTTTTTGAACAGGAAGTACTACCTGTCTTGACTTGATTTTCTAATTCTTGGTCCATGCACTGCTTTGTGTTGAGCTTTCCAGATAATATGATTATGAGATTGTAGGTAAATATTGCTCCTGATGCAGTCAAGTCAAATAAGTTTTGAAAGATGGGTTAATAATATTGCTGAGATGAGGTTGGGATGAAGGATTACTTAGTCTACTTTGGGGAGAAGTAAGACAGAGAAAGACATCCAAAGGAGTCTAACTTTTAGAGAAGAACATCCCATTGACTTGACAAGAGGATTGGTGTAAGCAAGGGCTCTCTCATATCAATTGCAAGGAAGGAACATGAGCCCAAGAAGGTGGAATCTATTTTTAAATTATATTTTATTAATTATGCTATTATAGTTGTCCCATTTTTTCTCCCCTTTATTCCCCTCTGCCCAGCATTCTCCCTCTCACCAGCATTCCCCTGACTTAGTTCATGTCCATGGGTCATGCATATAAGTTCTTTGGCTTCTACATTTCCTTTACTATTCTTAACCCTCCCCTGTCTATTTTGTGCCTGCCAATTATGCTTCTGATTCCCTGTATCTTTCCCCAACTCTCCTCCCCTCCCTCCTCACTGATAACCCTCCATGTGATCTCCATTTTTATGATTCTGTTCCTGTTCTAGTTGTTTGCTTAGTTTGTTTTGGCATTTTAAGGTTCAGTTGTTGATAGTTGTGAGTTTGTTGTCATTTTACTGTTCATAGTTTTCAATCTTCTTTTTCTTAGATAAGTCTCTTTGACATTTCATATAACAAGGGCTTGGTTATGATGAACTCCTTTAACTTGACCTTATCTGGGAAGCACTTTATTGGCCCTTTCCATTCTAAATGACAGCTTTGCTGGACAGAGCAATCTTGGATGTAGGTCCTTGCCTTTCATGACTTGGAATATGTCTTTCCAGCCCCTTCTTTTGAGAAATCAGCTGACAGTCTTATGGGCACTCCTTTGTAGGTAACTGTCTCCTTTTGTCTTGCTGCTTTTAAGGTTCTCTCCTTATCTTTAATCTTGGCTAATGTAATTATGATGTGCCCTGGCATGTGCTTCCTTGGGTCCAACTTCTTTGAAACTCTCTGAGCTTCCTGGACTTCCTGGAAGTCTATTTCCTTTGCCAGATTGGGGAAGTTCTCTTTCATGATTTGTTCAAATAAGTTTTCAATTTCTTGCTCTTGTTCTTCTCCTTCTGGTACCCCTATGATTCAGATGTTGGAATGTTTAAAGATGTCCTGGAGGTTTGTAAGCCTCTTCTCATTTTTTTGAACTCTTGTTCCTTCATTCTGTTCTGGTTGAATGTTTATTTCTCCTTCTATTCCAAATAGTTGATTTGAGTCCCAGTTTCCTCTCCATCACTGTTGGTTCCCTATACATTTTCCTTTATTTCACTTAGCTTAGCCTTCATTTTTTCATCTTATTTGTGACCATACTCAACCAATTCTGTGAGCATCCTGATTACCAGTGTTTTGAACTGTACATCTGATAGGTTGGCTATCTCCTCGTCACTTAGTTCTTGTTTTGGAGTTTTGATCTTTTCTTTCATTTGGGCCATATTTCTTTGTCTCAGTGCACCTGTTACATTGTAAGGGGCAGAGACTTAGGTATTCACCAAGGCATGGTAACTCACTGTTTTGTGTTGGTCTCTATGGGGGAGGGATCAGAGAGGGAACAATGCCACTTACTTGGTTCTTGTCCTGCTTTCAGTCACTTCCCCCACTACCAGCAAGCAAATTGGTCCCTTCTGGTGCTAATTCCCAGGTGGGTGGGTTTATGTACATTCTAGGACCCCATGGGTTTCTCCAATGACTCTCCTGTGAGGCTAGGAGTTTCTCCCACCACCACAACCTCCACAGATTTTTACAGCCAGAGGTTTTTGAGAGTTTAGTTTCCCACACTGGGACTCTGGGTTGTATGGTCTGTCTCACTCCCCAGTTATTCCTCCTCACTTATCCAAATGTGAATGTGGGATCACCTGGTCTGCCAGCTGCTACCTTTAAGTGCAGCCTCTCTGCCTGGCTGCCCATCTCCCCACCTTCTACCAGTCTGGATGAATGTTTCTCCTTTAACTCCTTGGTTGTTTGATTTCCATACAGTTCAATTTTCTAGCAGTTCTGGTTTTATATTGTTTTTAAATTTGTTGTTGTCCCTCTTTTGGTTGTGCAAGGAAGCAAAGCATATGTACCTACACTTCCATCTTGGCTGGAAGTCAGAAACTGTTTTTGTAATCTTTGATGTAAGACATTCTTGGCTATATAAGAAAAAAACTAATGGTCATTGTCACTGTGCCCAAGCTCTAGAGAGGGCAGTTAACTTGGTAAAAGTTGCATAACCAGTGAGTCACAGCACCAGGACTTGTCCTAGCTTGTGTTGGCACCTGATTGCAAATGAGTTGCCAAGAAAGCAGTTGGGCAACTACTCAGACAGCTCATCAAATTCCCACTTGTATCATTTTATTCTATGCCCCTTTGTGGAGGCTACAAAGTCAGATTTCTTACATGTAGACTGAAGAAAGAGGCACAGAGAGATCTTAGAAGAAGTCTATGACAACCTTTTCTTCTCCTTGCTTTGTAAAAGCACATACTAGATGCAATATTTTTTCTTGGGCATAGAAATTAAGAAGGGCACCAATCAACTTACCTGATCAGCAACTGCGTAGACCTCTTCCCTGTTGCTACAGTCACATTTATAGGCAAATACTTTCTCACCACCCTTTTCTTTGGCCAGCCTACTTGTTTCCATATTGCCTTCTTCATTAGTGTCCCATAGAACTAAAATAGCTCCAAGGCTGGCAAATTTTATGGCCATTAGCCTCCCAAGTCCACTTCCAGCTCCTGTTATAAGTACAACCTCTCCAGCAACATTCTTTTTTTTCTTGGGAATTATCTTGTAAGCCAAAGATTCTAAAAAATAATATGACAATTTTGCCAAAAATGCAGAGGTTTCAAAAATCAAATCCATGTTGATTCACAGAAGAAGGGAATATCCTAATTGAGAAAAAAAGGTGACTGGTAAATTCATTACATGATCACAATTGCAATATACATGGAGTATTTAGTATAAGAGGATTTACCCTTGAGACATTAATTATCCAGAATATGGTTTTTAGCAACAACTGCTAAAATTGTTGAATTTTTAAATTATATAAATAATGATTATAAAGTATTTTATGTTAACAAAAATATTTCCAATTTACAGATCACCTTCTTACATATAACCCAATCTGACCTATAGGTAGATCACAGATTACTAGGGCAGCTTTATAATTAAAGACATAAGGTGCTTGAGTCTTGACTTGCCCAATCTTGTATGACTAGTAAACCAAGACTTTAGATTCTCAATCTGGTTATGTTTCTATTATATAAACTCACTTGATGATCTCATATCCAATAGAAATTTGCTTTTCATCAGGTAGTTTTTCAATACAATAAAAATAACATGGTAACATAATGAAAGCTTTTATATGTTTTCACCTGGTCCTTACAATATCCCTCTGAGAGAGTCAAGCCAGATACAGTTATTACTATTTTATAGTGGGGACCTGAGACAAGAAATATGGAGTAGCTTTATTCAAGGTCACATAGCTAGCTAACCAGCAACATTAGGATCATGGTCAGAGGTCTTCTGAATTGTCATCCAGGCTTTTACCATTAGAATAGACAGTTTTTTTTTAGCTAATGTGGAGCTACTTTTCCCAGACCCACCTTCAAGAAAAATAATACAGCATTTTTTTTGTTTCTTGTGACACACCCTTGATTTTTGATAATCATAATCTGTTACACTTGAACATTCTTACACAATCATTTCCTATAGAAATAAGATGTGGACATTGATAGAACCCACTTTGAAACAGATTACAGCTTCTATCATCACCATCATCATCATCATCATCATCATCATCATAAAACAATATATATCGAATCTTGCTACAATTCAGGCAAGTTCTAAGTGCTCTGTGTGCATTTAACTCTTGCAAGTGTTGTCCTGTTTTATAGTTAAGAACAGAGTTACTAAGAGGCTAAGCAAACTATCCTATGGTCACACAGGTAAATACAGGGAAGATGGAAGCTAAACCTACCTACATGGTGACTTCACTCTCCAAACTCTCAAGTGCTAAGAGATGTAGCAAAAAGAAAAAAGAAGGCAAACACTGAGTCTGGTAAAAAGAATGATCTTTGCATTACATTAATTTCATATTAGTCAAGAGTTCATTTTGAGATATCCTGAAGACCCAAGTGAGGACTCTGAAGGACCCAGGCTGTTTTCATCTTGCTGGTAGTCCTGATCTGCCAGAAATTCCCACAGAGATAAGACAGAAAAAGAATATTATCTATCTTATCTTAATGTCTTTCATTAATTTATTTAGATTTATTAAGAATATCGACCATATCCCTAATGATATTTTCCTGGGAAAATTTTAGGGACTTCCACTTACCTTAATGTTCACTAAGAGTTAATGCACATCTCAAGTTTATAATCAGGAAAGACATCAAGCTAGAGAAAATTCACTGTCTTCTACAGGCTTATATAAACTTTTCTGGCTCAAGCACAATCCTGGCAACATGTAGTGTATTGTGATTATGAGAAGAAAGGATATCTTGTCATCTATTAAAAGTAAATACAAGTGGGATGGAGAAGGAATTCTGGGTCACAGGATTTTTATGTGGAGAGCAAGAGAAGATTACAACTTTTGTCATACTTTTTGGTAGGAGAAAATTTATTCTCAAAATAGATGATTTATCTAGAAAAAATTCAAGTAGCTTTCTATAAAACTTATTCAATTTTAGCAATATATTACTATACTTTGGGACCATTCTGAGGACAAGAGTTTTGACATGTCTCCAACTATTCATTGTTTAAACATTCCCTGAATTAAGAGACCTCACTCCCAGGCTGCTAAAAGCACTCAATTTTGGAACAAAGGAGAAAAGTACACATATAAGCCCTGGATGTAGGAATTGCTGGCCAGGAAACCAGATTGCTCCCAGGTGGGTCCTTGGACATTCATGGCAACAAGACAGAAAAAAATCATTAAGCATTACAACGAGCATAAGTACTCAACTGTATTATGTGCTTTAAATGCCTTACTTTATTTGATCCCCCAAATAGCCCTGTGGGGAAAGTATGGGATTCAGGTAGGCACGTAACTTGCCAACGGGTATGTGGTGCTTATGGAGAAGTGGGACTGGAGGCCACACTATGGTTCCAGAGCTCCTGCTCCTTTGATCCCTACACATTAAAAAACCTGAATAAACTAGGCTTTAAGTCACAAGGACCTCCTTTCATTTTTCAAGCATGTCCAGAGCACTTCAGGTTAAAAGGTGACTGAGAATGTTGTAAAAATTACCAATTTTCAGGAATGTTAAAAATATCAAATCAACAAATATAATAAAACATTTTGTAAATTGTAAAATGCCATGCAAATATTGATTCTGTCCATGGTACTAGAGACTCTCTGATAACGATGCTGAGTCTGCAACCTGTCATCCATAAAGATAACTCTTGCGGAGGCCTGGAAGGCTTTTTTTTTTACATTTTAGAGTTTGTCTCAACTGTGAAATTGCTGAGGAGGGCTTGGGAAAAGGGTTTGCACAGGAGTTTATCTGACTCTCATTCTTCTTGTGAGCTGTTGGTGAACGTAGGACCCTGTTGTGAGGCCAAATCCACACATTCACCTTCATTCAGCTGGGCCCCCAAGCATGTCTCATCCTGTCTTTCTTGCCTATCACCCTGTCTTTCCACCACCTCTTCCCCTCACCCTGCCCAAAATCAGCAAACTGAGAAAGAACAATGAAAAAAGAAGAAAAAAGAGATACTGGAGATGATAATGAAATTATGTCCCACCCCTGTTTGGGAACTGTACTAAACTGTGCCCAGAGAAACTGCCAGGAGCAGGCACCTAATAATTTCTCCTGAGTGGTCAAATGACCTTAATCTTACCTGCAGAAATGTTGCACTCTGGAGGCACAAGGGTTCTCACAGGGGATGAAGCAAACAGAGCTTGTGTCAGCTGCTGGAAGCAGTCTCTTAAATGCCTTCAGTTTGGTGTGTCCTCCCACACCTTTTGTTTGAGTGCCAGATAGTGGAGTCAACCGTGAGAAGTTACCTGGCTTTCACCCATGTTGACATTACTGCAACGTGTGACATAACTCCTGTGTTTTCAATCCTCACAGTGGCCTGGAGTGAAGGTGTGACCCATAAAGCACATGTTTAAAGTAATTGATACTGGCAACACTGCCATTACCATCAGTCCTCCTGTGGGTACACTGAACTCTTCACATTAGGAGAACAGAAATAAGAAATACTTCATTAGCTGCGTGAGGAAAATGTGAAACTCAGCTGCTAACTCATCTGAACTTGATCAGCTTACATTATTTTCCCCAATGTTTTATTATGAAAATTTTGCAGCACATTAGAACCAGAAGAAATAACACATAAATGTTCGAGGAACCTATGCTCAGACCAAACAAAAATGTTCATGTTTTACCATATTTGCTTTCTATCTTCTTTCTTTTGGAGAACTATTTAAAAGAAAGTTTGCAAATTGGATGAAGTGAAAGTATCCATCTCTCATCTCTGAAGAAGGAAGTTATCATACATAAGGAAAAGTACTAAACCCAATAAAACTAACATTAATTCTACAATACTGTGTAATATTAATCCCTACGCAAGTTTCCCAATTTGTCTCAAAAATCCTATCAAATTTTATATATTGCATTTGGCTGTGTTATCTTCTTAATAACTTTCTGCCTAAAACAGCTCTGTCCATCTCAAAAACATTAAAAAAGATACACATCAATGACCTTTTGAAAAGCGTAGGCCAAATGCCATATACAATGTCCTATATTTTCTCTTTTTCTGACTGATTTTTCCATGGTGTCGTTTAACAGGACCTTTCTCCCCTGTATCTTCTGCAAACTTCAGTTAGATCCAGAGCCTTGATTATGTTCTAATTAAACATTTCTTTAGAAAGAAAATATCATATATACTTTGGAACACTTCATATTATAACCTGTTACAAGGTCTGGTGTCAGACTGTTCCACTATTAAGATGCTAAATTTAGTCCCTAGGAGAAGGCAGAAACCACAAGCTTTCTCCATTGTAAACTGTACCTTTCAACAGTTACTAGTTATTAGTAGTCTGTGGGATGGCACTTGGGCACCCTGTATCTATATTGCTTCCCACAATCTTTCAACTAGTGACTTTAATAAATACATAGACTCTATTTTTTAGAGCAGTTTTAGATTCACAGCAAAATGAGTGGAAATCACAGGAAGTTCCTCCCCTATCACACCCATTGCCTCCACCACTTCCAACCAGATGGTACGTTTGTACCAGATGGTACAGTTAATGGACTTACATTGTCAGGTCATTATCACCCCAAGTCCACAGTTTACTTTAGGGTTTATTGCAGTCTTGGGTTTTGACACACATACAGTCTGGCACTATTATAGTGTCATATAGGATGGTTTTACCACCCTAAAAGTCCTCTGTGTTCTACCTATTCCTCTCTCCCTCCTGAAGCCCCTGGAAACCACTGACTTTTTTTTTAAATTGTCTCCATAGTTTCACCCTTTCCAGAATGTCATATAATTGGAATTATACATTATTCAGGCTTTTTTCTTTTTCTTTTTATAACTATCTAGATTTTATTGAAAAAAATGTTTTGAGATTTGTTTTCCATCTGTGCAAACTAGTACAATAATTCACTGAACTTGGGAGTAATCAAATGCTCTTTTACTTTTTGACACCCAGGTATCCTGAACTGAATTAATCACAATCATCAAATATTTTTATTTTAATTATTTTTTTTACTTTCCAATTATAGTTGACATTCAATATTATTTTATATTAGCTTCAGGTATGTAGCATAGTGGTTAGACATTTATGTAATTTATAAAGTGATCCCCCTGATAAGTCTAGTGCCCACTTGGCATCATACATAGTTATTATAATATTACTGAACATATTTTCTATGCTGTACTTTACATCTTCATGATTATTTTGTAACTACCAATTTGTACTTCTTAATCCCTTTACCTTTTTCACCTGGCAGTGCCTTAACCCCCTTCCATCTGGCAACATCATTTTGTTCTCTGTATCTATGAATTTGTTTCTGTTCTGCCTATTTTATTTTGTTCTTTAGATTCTACATATAAGTAGATCAAATGGTATTTGCCTTTCTCTGTCTGACTTATTTCACTTAGTGTAATACCATCTAGGCCCATTCATGTTGTAGGAAATGGTTAGAGTTCATTCTTTTTTATGGCTGAGTAATATTCTATCATATATATGTACCTCATCTTCCTATCCTCAGATTGGTGTTTTGGTAATATGCATTTACATTTTCTCTATGTCTTTTCATGGCCTGAGAGCTCATTTGTTTTTGTACCTGAGCAATATTCCACAATTTATTTATCTATGAATATACCTATTTATTTGTCTGAATGTACCACAGTTTATCCATTTGCCTGTTGAAGGATATGAAGACTGTTAAAAACATCTGTGTACAGGTTTTTGTGGACATGGTTTCAAATTTTTTTGGCAAATACCAAGGAGCATGATTGCTGGATTGTATAAGAGTATATGTAGTTTGTGAGAAACTGCCAAACATTCTTCCAAAGCAGCTGTTGCATTTTCCTTTCCCATCAGCAGTGAATGAAAGTTGTTGTACCACATCCTCCTCAGCACTGAATGTCCTCAGTGTTTCGTATTTTAGTCATTCTTAGGTGTGTAGCACACCCAATGATTTTAACATCCACCCATGACCCTTGCCCAAATTGATGATTATGCTGGGGCTTGCAAAATGGTGATTTTCTTATTTACCATTCTTTCCACATATAATAATTGGCCTTCTTCTGTAACAGGAAACATTTTGCTTTAAAAACAATCTCTCTCATAATGGGGAATTCTAAAGAGAAGAATGACTTTCTTGTCCATGTGGATTTACCATACTTTGTACTCCCCTGGGACTCACAGAAAGCTACATGAAGACTGATTGTTACTGCATCATTTTTTTGTTTCCCATAAATCTTAGTTCAAGACCTTGCATATAACAAGTACTTAGAGAAACCAGAAACTGCCTCAGCTTACTGAGGGGGTCTCTTTCTTGCCTCTAACCATTGCTGACCAGAAGAGGGACAGCAAAGCACTATGGGTTTTCTGGACTCCTTTTATCACCTTTGCTATTGGTGGACTTCGCTCCTCTTGGAATGAATAAACACCTTTGTGGGTGAGTTTCTCCATAGTTTTTGCTGCTGATGCAACTCTCATTTTTTTCTTGTGAGCTTCACCCACTGTGCTCCCCGCAAGTTTTTCACTAGGTTCTCCACCTCAGGGGCCAGGTCAAACTTGTACTCTGTCTCCTACGCCCATCAGTGGTTTCCTAACTGACTCTCCTCTAAGTTTCTGTAGGCCTTTTCCTCAAAAAGTAGCTGTCACATTCTCCCCTGTAGTGGGTCCGTCTTCCTTGCATGGTACCAAGCCTCTTCTTTTCCTACACAAAGTTCATGAGGCTCAATTTTGGGAAGCTCAAAAAAAGTTTTATCCCCTAAATTCATGTCTCAATTGTAGCCTCCAAAGCCCTGTTTTGAAACTCAAAGCCTTGAATTGGACTGACTCTTTGTTGTTCTGAAGAAGTATTGTTTTCTCCTCCTTTGTTTGGGCAATAAACCTGGAGGCATGGAAACTCCTACCTAGAATGCAGCCTGGAGAATTTGTCAGTTACAGCTGCTGGGATCAGGGATCATCAGTGGGCCAAGGCTCCAGACTCAAAGAGCAGTGGAATGAATGCCTTCGGATGTAATTGTTTCCTTTCCCTTTTTCCTGGAAAGTGATATTACAGAAGTAATGTTTTAGGAGGAGAAATTACATGTGAAGAAAATTCCAGAAGCAACACTATTAAAGACTCATTATGAGGACCCTTGCCCTAGCACTGAGGGAGGGATGCAGGAGATGACGTATCAGAGGGCAGAAAAGTTCGAGAGACGGTAAGTCCAAACCCAGCTGAGCCTGTCCGGTCAAAGAGGAGCTAACATCCCTGAGAACTCCGCTGTCTTTCCACCCCACACAGTGGGCTCTCTCAGTGGTTGGGTTAAGGTTCAACATCCTTAAGTAAGGAAGGGTTGGGATCTGCATCTATGGCTATTAAAATTTAAATTGTAATTGACATCAAATCGAATAAAAGATAAAATACAGTGGTACTGTGACAGGACATAGCTGAGCAGTAGCCATTCTTAGGTAGGAGCTGACCAGTAGTCGTTCCCAGACAGCAGCCTTTCCCAGATAAGCAGTTATCTCAAGGTCATATACTAATCTTCACTTTCTGCTTCTGTATGCTTGCTTTTAGCAGTTGTTCCCCACTCCCCCTACCCCCTTTTTGCCTTGTAACAAGAATATAAGCAAACTCCAGCTTAAGCTTGGTGCCCAGAATTTGGAATTTATCTCCTCTGGGTCCACATGCGTGAATAAACCCCACTTCTCAAACTCCCAGGCCATCTGAGTCATCTTTTCCATAACAGTACCTCGGGACTCATCAGTAATTTGTTGTTGAACTTGTGTGAATGCTGAAACTGACGAGTATGGAATGATGAAGGATTTTCTCTTGTGGGAAAAACAAGAAGGGGTGGCGTAGTAACTCATACAAGTTCTAGCAAGTGCAATGAATGAGTCCTGAGCAAGCATCGAATGCTGAAACATTTTTTTCTTATCAAAATGAAACAAGTACAAGGTTTGACAAGTTCTGAAGCCCATGAGTACCAAGGTATGACTGTATTCAGTTCTCAGTTGCAGCAGCCACATTAAAAATGTTTGATCATTGCATGTGCTTATGGTACCATATAGGTTACAGAGATAGAATGGATTTTGGGCCTTTTAAACCCATGGAAGACCTGCCAAATGAGAATAGGGCAAGCTGCTGGGGAAGACTGTAATTGCCTCCAGAAAAGGCTGATTCTGATATTAAGCAATTTTAGCAACAC